GCGAAAACCATATCAACAAACAGCGACCTTGCTGCACCTGAGTTTGGTAGTGGTAATATTTCCACAAACGAACCTATATTTTCAAAGTTAAGTTGATATTGTTCTATGAATAGCTCTCTCTCTCTCACTCTCTTCTCTTCTACAACTGTTTTTTTAAATACAAGAAAGCAAGGCTCGATTACAAAAAAAATACTACGTTTGACTAAGCACGTATGCTTTGTCCAGTCATAGGTGCTTAATTCATTTAGTTGTATTTGTTGATTACTAATAGTATACCTACGTATAATAATAACAAGCGGCCCGTCCTGGCTTCGCACGGGTGGGCATTTACTTTTAAAACATTTTGGGATGCCCCTTATTACTACAACTGACCAGCAATGGCCTGCGAACGTCACCCGGGACATTAGTTGGTAAGTCTTTAAATACTTACCCAATAATTTCATTAGCTACAGTTCCCTCTTTCCGAAACACAGTAAAATAGTAAGTAGTTGACGACCTCCGTGGCCGAGTAGTTTGTACGCCGGGTTTCATGGCTGTCGACGACTCGAGAGGTCCCGGGTTCGAATCCCGGTGGGGGCAGATGTTTGTGTGATGAATACTAGCATTTGTACTCCAGTCATGGATGTTTAATATGTATTTATATAAATATACTTATATATGTACAGTATATATATTCTATCCGTTACCCTAGCATCCCATAACACAAGCCTTATAGTGCATACTTTGGGGCTAGGCTAATTGGTGTGAGTGTCGGAATTTAAAAAAAAAATGCATTAGGATAACTATTTTACGAGATAATACCTCTCTTGCGATGTGCAAGTAAGCAATACCTCTCTTGCGCAGTGCAAGTAGTAATCACCTACCTACCCGGATCATTGTAGAGCGACCATACTGAATAGTAGGGTGGCTTGGTAGTGATATCAAATGGCTTCTACAACAGTTTAATTTTATCTGTGTTTTTTTTTATGTTATAGGGGGCATACGAGCAGACGGCTCACCTGAAGGTAAGTGATCACCGTCGCCCATGGACACTTGCAACATCAGGAGTATCACAAATGGGATGCCGGCCTTTTAGGAAGGAGTACGCTCTTTTTCTGAAGGTTTTTGGGTCGTATTATCCGGAAAGACTGCTGGCGACAATATATTCCACAGTTTTGTCGTACGTGGTAAAAAATTTCGACAAAAACGCACGGTTGTGGAAAGCCACGCATCAAGATGATGGGGATGAAATTTTTGTCGCGATGTACGATGGCGAAATGCAGCAGCTGGAATTAATCCGAATAATTCCTCAGAACACTCTCCGTGATAAATGCGATAGAAGATGCAGAGCGAAGCTACATCCCTACGCAAAGCCATAGGATCAAGCTGATCGGAAAGGTCCTGGTCGTCGACGATGCGAGCCGCTCGGCGCTGGATGCAATCTAAAGGGAGAAGCTGGTACTGGGGTGCCCCCACCCAAAGATGAGAGCAGTACTCCATGTGAGGCCGAACCTGTGCCTTATAAAGTTGCAGTCGGTGGGCCGGTGTGAAGTACATTCTCGATCTATTGAGCACACCAAGCTTCTTAGAGGCCAATTTAGCATTGCCCTCTAAATGATCCCGAAACTGGACGTCGCTCGATATATCAACGCCAAAATTAGATATTGGTATAATTGTTATGATTTTTGAGCAAAAAATCAATTTCTGTAATGAAAAAATATAATACAGTACCCCTAGCACGAACCATTATCGAATTCGAATAGTTTACGAGTGCTAAATGTCAATGTCAAAGGACATCGACGAAATCGGCCCTAGCATGCCCAAAAGAATGTCCTTCACTATTATTTTTCTATTATTTTTTTAACTTATTAGCAATTAATCATAGTAAACGGACAATCTGTTTAAAAAAATAAAAGTTCTGTTACTAGATACTACAGTCTGTTCATCCAACTTGTCCTATTTGGTAAACTATCTTGGCACTCCTTTTTATTGAAAATACAGCATTAAAAATCAACTGATAACTGGATTCAATAGGTTTCAGTCTATAATAACGATTTATTTTAATAGTTTATTGGCTTCGTTAATATTTTATTATTAAATGGGTGATTCTGTTAAAAAGTTGTGTTGTGCCCATAGGTATTTATCAACATAAAAATAGAACTAGGTACCTTAGTTAATAATATTTATTACTAGTATTTATATTATATTTATAAAAAGATTATTTCTGAAATTATGTAAAGATAGTTTATACTCCCATCCCATGTAATATCTGTTTATTTTTATGAAAATCATAATGATAACCAGTTACATACCTAATTACCGATAGTAAAATATAGAAACAGGTAAATGGAAAGACTGAACATTTCATTTGAAACGAAATCTATTATTACTACAGGTAGGTACAGGTACAATAGGTTCCAACTGCCAACACTCATAAATCTATGAATATAAGCATTTATTATTTTTATTATTAATTGCATTTTATGTTCATTTAATGCATATTATTTAAGTGCTTACATAGAGGTAAACACTAAATCTATTCAGAATATATAAAGTGTACATCTTTTACGATTAAGTATAATAATTATAACCTCAAAATCTAATACATTCTGTAGTAGGCCACGGTTCCTCAAGTTGTCCGTATCTCAACAAATGCCTAATTAGAGTTTATGAATGATTCCGAACACAACTAGCATTTTCTCATTGCTGGGCGTTCTAGGGTATTCAATGTATGGGGAACGAGCAATTTCCTTTTGTATAGAAACTTGAAAACAGCGGCACAAAGTACGTAACGAGAACTAAAAATCAGTACACATTTGACAATGACATTTCGGACTCGCAAACGATACGAATTCGATATTGGTTCGTGCTAAGGGTAAAGATTACGTAATGAAAATGTCAAAATAACATAACCAATAAATGTTCAGAGCAAAATATCTTTTTTCCTCGGCTTTCTTTCGTCGCGATTCTTACATGTATATGTAAATGTGTAATATATAAATATGTAAAAATATAATATATATATATATAATAAATTACGCAGGATCAAATGATATGTCATTTGTTTAAAGACGCAACAATTTAATTTCAAACAAAACGATGCATGGGACTTGACCGATGTCATTTCATGTCAATTAGTTGAGTAAATTTGCTTTAAAATTCAGTTACAAGATTTGACCTGAACATGCTTACTTATTGGAAGTTATAAAAAAGCTTTAAATTTTTTTCTATACAAAAATATTAAAAAAAAAAACAGCTTAAGTGTCCTCGTTGTTTGTGTAGACTCGTTCCCTCATCCTTATCGGTAAGAGCAGCGCACGTCTGGAGAGCAGAGTAAACGACCAAGCACTAAGCTGTGGACCAATAGGATTTCTAAGTGAGAACTGTTAAAATATTACTTGACTTACACATAAACTAAACATACTAGACTTTTGTAGTCGCATGTTTTCATAATCATGTTAAATTATCCATACATTATTATCTTTATACAGAGTAACTGTTAAAATATTACTTGACTTACACAGAAACTAAACATACTAGACTTTTGTAGTCGCATGTTTTCATAATCATGTTAAATTATCCATACATTATTATCTTTGTACAGAGTGTAAAAAGATTCTCGACACAGCCGTAACCCCACGATTCTATACATCAAAATAATCCACTTAGCAAATAATTATTACTAGGAGATGATTTTTATTCCATTGTGGGGAAAAATTATAAAATATTTTAATATAATGATTACCCTACCCCTGACTTCAGCAAATTTTAATATTGAAGCTTACTTTAAGAATATTTATATATTTGTCTGTGCTTATTTAATTAAAGTCAAATTGGATTTAATAACTTTTTACTAACTTTGTGACTGTGATGATTTCCTACATGAATATATTTTTAGAGAAATAAAGTTGGCAAATAGTTAAGTAAGATATGAATTATAAAACTTATAATAATTTAAGAGATAAACAGTGGTCTGATAAGCCCTACACAACATCTGTATTTATTGATAATCCAAACTTAATAGAAAATTTGGACAATAAGGCACCCGAATAAAGTGAATTAAAAAAGCAGGTAATTTACATAAGAAAATTCCAGTTTTATAGTACTGAACCTGTAACTCGCTGGCCAATGACTGGTAAAAATTTTCTTGATCCTATTGTTGTTTTCACATTTTCCTTTTTTCACCTCTATCGTTTTTTTTTTGCCAAGTATCAGTCAGTAACCCCTAGCACTAACCATTATCGAATTCGAATAGTTTGCAAACCGAAATGTTAATGTCAAATTTTGTATGGAAACTTGAACAGCAGCGGCACAAAGTACGTAACGAGACCTTAAATTCAGGCAGACAATGACATTTCGGACTCGCAAACGATACGAATTCGATATTGGTTCGTGCAGGGGCACAGATATAATTTATAAAAGGAACAGGAGTTCGTTTTATAGGATAAAAGATCGTATATGCGAAATAGCATTTTGTTATTTGTAACCTTATTTCTTTGGTGAAATAGTTGTCATTTCAGGTTCAATTGAAATGACAACTATTAATAAACTTAAACTGTTTTAAAACATTTATCTTTGTTCGTTGGGAATCGAATGTAGCTGCATAAGTTTAAACATACGCATACAGTTTTCAAATTTGATTTTGTAAGCAACCCGTTATCTATAGAATTGTTGATCGAAGCCTGTAGCCCAATCCTGTGAGGAAATAGAGAACGAGAGATATCTATGCAAAATTAGGACGTCATCCAGTACACTAATGAACTATGCATTGAACAGTTAATGCTGCTCAAGTATCATTACAGCTCCTGTCAACAACGATAACCAGAAGTTGCTAAACCGCGAGGAAAACACCATCATGAATGAAATCCCAGGATGAAATAAGAAAACATTCTCTATGTGGTACTTATATCTTGTCTCGTAACCACTATCGCGAGATACAAATTAGCGAATTCTTAATTAGGCCACTCACTAACGCTTCAGCTATTGTAATCAACCTACCATTGATCCAGCTACCAGCCCTGATGACCACAGAGTACTAAAAATGGACTCCAGTTGATCTCCGCAATTTAGACCTTCGTGCCGTCAGTAGGGTGTTAAGTTAAATCAGTGAAATTGACACAAACAGTGTAGTGATAACATATGAAATAAGTGTATGTAGCATAAGCCTGTACGTCTTAGTTTTAATTTCAATTACTCTTTTTTTATATTTCAAAAAGAATTTACTAACAACAACCGAGTTGCTCTCAGAAAACCGACACTCACCCCAATTAGCCTAGCCCCAAAGTAAGCACTGTGGCTTGTGTTATGGAATGCTACGGTAACGGACAGAACCCTTAAACTATACATATATAAGTATATTTATATAGAAATACATATTAAACATCCATGACTGGAGTACAAATGCTCGTATTCATCACACAAACATCTGCCCCCACCGGGATTGGAATCCGGGACCTCTCGAGTCGGCGACACCATGAAATCCGGCATACAAACCACGAAGGTCGTCATTCGGCCGGCCGGCTTTATAAGCAGTATCGGTCGCTCCCAATAACCAATTGCTTAAACAAGTAATAACTAATTATTAATATATAAATTAGTAAAAAAGGAAAAAAGTAATAAAGTCACTTAATGGACGTGGTACAACATAAACATGCAGGCGACGAATATAAATATTATTCTAAAAAAATATTAAACGTTAATTTCCTCTCCACACTTTTTTGGTAATATTGGCCTAAGCATGGAAGTCATTTGGGTAGACTTAAGAAAATAAATGAAAATAATGTAATAGGTTGAGTTAGGAATACTAGTTTGAGATTATTAAAGAAATGGGATGGGACGTCATAGGATAAATACAGAACAACCCAAATTATTAATAAGTTTATATCTAATAATTATAAAAAAATAACAAAACTACTTAATCAAAATATAAAAAAACACATTAAACAATAATATACAATAATATAATCAATACTCAATAAATTTGGAATAACAGGTATCTAATATATAAAATTCTCGTGTCACATTGTGCGTAATTGAACTTCTCCGATAGGGCTCGACCGATTTTCGTGAAATTTTATATTCATATTCAGTAGGAGTGAGAATCGGACAACTTCCTTTTTTCATCTCCCTAAATGTTAGAGACCACCCTTAATTTTTATATGGACAAAATTTTTATTTTTATTTTTTTGTGATACATCATACAAAAATACATATAACATTAAATTTTCACCCTTCTACCACATATACTTTTATGGTGATTCGAAGTTCGCTGGCTCAGCTAGTATCGATATAAAATTAGCGGATGGATTGCTCGTTTTATTTTTTTAATTAAAAGTTCTATTTCGAAAGCTCGCCGCATCCGAACAGAACTTTTAATAGAAAACTCGGTCACCGCGTTTACAATACATTCAGCTACATTATCAATGACTTTAATGAAATTTTCGCGGTGGGGATTCCCAGTGATGCATCAAGTTCATCAATGCATCGGGAAAATAACGTGGGGTAAGAGCACGCTTGCGCGGTTCGCGCGAGGAAACGGGAGGGTCGAACCAGAGCACATGCGCGCGCCTACACCGCTCCTTACCCCAGGTCGATATAGTTGCAGGGTGAATGTCGCGCATGCGACACCCTGTGTGGCCGACCATCAGGTGTAAACGACATGGCTGACAGCGAATTTGAGGAATTTCGTCGAGTGTTCGACAGATTACCACAACACATCAAGGCTCCGACCCCCTTCTATTCGTAAGTACCGTTTTTCCCATAAATTTCTTTGTAAAAACTTCGCTGACCCGACAAGATGTTACATAGAGACATCCTTTTGTCACGTGAGCGTAGAGGCCATTATATTATTTAAATCAGATTGAAATATTTAATTTGAAGTGAAAGCGTTGCATTGTTTAACTGTATTTGATACTGATGTGTGATACTTTTGCCACCAGACTAGTGCCAAATGTGGGTTTGGACGATGAATCACCGTCGTCGAAAAGTGAAGGTTCTCCAGAGAACGACAGAGGTTGTGTCGGTGATGGTGAAACCACAGTGCAAGAAGAGAACGTTTCTGAACCCCAGCAGACAGACATAAACGATGCTCAACGCAGTCCTAACCACCAATCATTCACAAACGGACAGCGGAGAAGAAGAAAACTACCAGAGATACCGAAAGACAAAAAATGTTAGTATCAATCGTAGTTCAATGATTTATTATAATTAAGTTATCATTTACACTCATATAAGTTTTAAATTTTGATTGCAACATTGTAGGCCGTCAGTAAATATTTGATGACGGGCCTATTATTAAGTTGTATGTTTTGAATTGCAAATGCGCTTTAGCGACTGTCTATAAAACTATGATATGCTCACGCGACAAAGCGAGTTTTTTATCTTTATTCTAATTTAATGAACACAGATGATACTGTTATTTCAATAATTGATAGAAAGTTAAACTTATATTTCAGGAAGATTTATTTGTACTTTTATTATTTATTTATTTATTTTAATTGCATTAAAATAATATTATATGAAAAAGGAGAATGTGAAATGATATGGATTTTTTTTAAATCAGAAAAAATATGAAACTGCTCAGGCCTTTCTTTTCCTTTTTTAATGCTTTTTTGATAAAACATGGAATTTTTACTAACACTAGAATGTTTTGGCAGTATTGATTTTGAATGTAACTTTATTGTGTCTTATTACAGAGAATATTTGAGAAACTTAAATAAGCTACCAATCTGCATTTTTTATTATTCTGTTCATGTTTGAACGAGCATTATTTAAAAATAGTCTCATATACTTAAAAGGTGGTGAATACTGGACCACTAGTTATAATCGCTCAGCGATGCTCGCTTGATCGAATAAAGCGCGCGCGGGCATCCTTGCCTCCTGGCTTCACGAGCGAGTGGTGCAAGTAATCGCCCGTCGTACTCACACACTTGCTTATAGCCCAGCGATAAAACTATCGGGATTACAAACTTGCTTCCTGCCGTCTGTCAACCCATTTCTAGTTTCTAGCTCTACTCGCTTCTCGTTCATCGTCAGCGGTGGGACAAGTAAAAATGAACAAATCAGCTAATATTTTCAAAGATTTGTACAGTAGGATTAAGCACTTGGTTTGGTACCAACCAAAAACTTTTTTAAAAATTTCTGAGCCTATAGAGTAGCCTACTGCCAAATTGCAGTTTTAATGCAGCACTGAAACTGCAAATCAGAGTTAAGTTGGAATGTAGCCCCCTGTCTTTAAAGAGCCTTATAAAAACTTATTAAACCAAATCACTTTTCACGAGTTGATTTGCATACATTTCTTCAAGTAATTCTTCACGAATTCCAGCTACGATACTAGCGTGCAGTCAGCCGACATCCCTCGCTGACGAACTGGGAGTGCTCGTCCGGCCCGGTTGCCATGGGCGACCGCTGCTGGTGCTCAAATGCGGCTACCTTCTGGATGAAGACTCGAGCCCTGACTCTGAGCGTCTACAGAGCCTGGGCGATGTTGACAGCGGACACAGTACTGCACACTCGCCCATCGACACAGGCCCGAAGAGCTTATCGCCGACGCCATTACAGCAAAATGGTATCTATAATATTTTTTTCTTATTATTTTTTACGACAATAGATAGACAATATCATACATGACTGGGTATTCTAAACTAACTCACTCCAATTATGTAAGTTGATTATAACAAAACGCGAGTGGATTACCCAGAAATACAAAATGAATGCCGTTTAACGTCTCGTCGCACAAAGTATAATAACATTCTTTGGAACATAGAGACTTGATTCTGGCAATTTTTCTGAACTTAAACTTAAATTTCTCAGCACTAAAAATTTTTACATTCTCTTTAGGACATGATAAGTTTTCATAAGTATCAGCATCCATTATCGTAATATTTGTCCACAAGGGGAAGTAAAAACTTATTTGTCATTGAATACCAATAGGCATGGAATAATAATGAAAAGCTAAAAACATATAATGATGAGCAATATTTTATTTTATTCCCTATTCATTTCACAGTATCACCATCATCAAGTTGCAGCATTAGCGGCATCAACTTTGCCGGCAACATGACGACAGTTCCCCATAGTCAACTCGAAATGTTAGAAGCTACTCATAGAGGCCTACACAAGTTCAATCCTAGGCACCATGATGAGATAGAAGTCGAAATCGGAGATCCTATATATGTACAAAAGGAAGCTGATGACTTATGGTGTGAAGGTACAATAACATTATTAGATTTTCCTCCTAAATATATACTTTTGAAATTCTATTAATATACTTTCAGTTTGGAATTTGAAAAATCACACAAAATGCGATCAATTTATACTTAATAAGTTAATTAGGGACGTTGAATATCTTACATATGAGAAATTATTTGGTGCCACAGAAGGGAAATCTGACAACTTCCCCCTTCGTATTATCTAAATGAATCAAAATCTACACACACTCAAAGTTCTGCTTGCTGAAACAAAGAAAATGTTTTTTTTTTTAATAACTATAATCACTATACTTAATTGTAGTAAAAAGAAGAAGTTTTAATATAATATAGATGTTTTTTTTAAATGTGCAATTAATTATTATGAAATAAGTTCCCCATTATCTTATAATATCCCCAATAGGATCTAGGTTTCCATAATGGACACAACCTCAAAAATACAGTTTTCTCCAGTGTGCATGATTATAGAATTAATATTTTTATTTATTTTCAGGAGTCAATCTTAGGACAGGTCAACAAGGAATATTTCCATCAGCGTATGCTGTTGATATGGACTATAATGATTTTGATCCAGCAAATGCCAAAGTTAAACGGGAAAGATATTTACTAGGGTTAGTATAGAAGTCAAGTTTTTAATGTCTCATAGGCAAGACCACAAACAAATCAAATATTGCAGGTTGATGCTTTTTTAATTAGACCGAAGTTTAAATAACTAAAAGATCATTTTGAACTCATAAAAAATAATTTTGATAATATGCTAGATGAAGGCTATATAACTCAAACTTAGACATAGACTCGATATTATTTAGTAGACCTTAACTTGTTTGACCTTTCCAAGATAATAAGTAAACTATTTATAAAAATTGACAGATACATGGGCTCGGTAGAAACATTAGCTCACAAAGGAACTGGAGTGGTATGCCAAGCTGTGAAAAAAATTGTCGGAGAATGCAGTGGAGAGCCAACATTACAACCGTGTATATTGGAAGTATCGGATCAAGGGTTACGTATGGTCGATCGATCAAAAGCCGATGTGAGTAGCGACACTTAAAACTAAAATAATTAAGCTGTAGTGCTATATATATATATATATATATATATATGTATCTTTCATGTTTTACAGAGGAATCGGAGCGCCCCTTGTATCGATTACTTCTATTCCCTGAAGAACGTTTCATTTTGCGCTTTTCACCCGCGAGACCATCGATATTTGGGCTTCATCACAAAGCATCCTACGTTGCAACGGTTTGCTTGCCATGTATTCAGAGGACAAGAATCCACCAGACCTGTTGCTGAGGCTGTGGGGTAAGTCAATTATAATAAGTAATAACGTAATTATTTATTGACCTTTTAGACGAAACAACTGGTTGTACAAAATCAAAGTTTTATATTGCTCGGTTTACATAGTTATGTGCATAGAATTTAGCTCTCATTTATTTATTTATTGTTTCTTACCAAAAAACAGTAAATGGCGGACTTAATGCCATAGGCATTCTCTACCAGTCTACCAGTAAAGGTGTAGGAGATGAAATGTAATGGCTTCTTATCTTGATTTTATTGGATTAAGTGATTATCATTGAAAAGATAATTTCGAACTCAATGATATACTGTTATATAATATCATTGTTCAAACTATTTAATGTTGTTCTTTTCCAACTAAGACCAATACTATTTTGCAAAAGCCTTATTAACTTTAAAGTTAAATTGATTTCTGCTTCCGCGGTAAGCTCTTTACTTGACATTGCTGTTACTCAATTGATATTTTATTTAAGACTTACGTCTTACATTATAATATTGATCATCAATTTACAAGCAACCGTTGTAACTTCGTGCGAATTTTATTAATGTGAAACTATTATTTCTATAATGAAATATTGATATGCTGTAAATAAATAGATATTTCAAAATATATATACTAGCCCCTACGGCACTATCTTAGTCAAGGCACCAACATCCATCTGTGATGAATTTAACCTAGTCCCTACCGCACCATCTTTATTAGATATGCTGGGAATTCTTGCATTTGTAATGACTATACTACGCCCTATAAAGTCAACTAAAATAGATACAGTGGTTTGCTCAACACCTCAGATGGATTTTTTGGTCTAAATAGTAAAGATCGTGATCGTCTTGATGGTGATTAAAATTCATATATGACGAGATAATAAATTATCTAAAAGTATCTAGAATATAAATAGGACTCTATGTTATGTTTGTTGTGAGAATGCTGGTATTTAAAACTCCCTTCAATATTAATTAGTCTCGAAGAAATCGATCCTAGAAGTCTGCAGCCTATTCAATTTTAGGATTTTAACATTATCTAGACTCAACTGTCGGTGAAGATGCATTTTGGTTTATTGAGGTGGAGGTTTATGTTTAACTAAAAATAATTATAAAGGTGTAGAGGAAAATAATCCTGCCTTAAAAAACCCTCTGCGGGGTAAATAAAACTAATTGGTTTTTAATTAACAAAGAAAAACCGGCCACGCGCAGTGTAGCGTTCCGTAGTTGTCTATAGTTACCACAAAATATTTGAGCAGATATTTTATTTTCTATATCGGAAATTAGAAAAATCAATTAATATCAATCTATGTATCTCAACTAAAATACCTAAATCAAAGTCAAACTGCATCTCAAACTCAAAATCAATTAAATATTAATTTGTTTTTAAATACCTATGAACACCGCCGATTTTTCTTTTGTTTCCTCCCAGGCGGGGTAGCGGGTGTGAAATTCTCAAGGATACCCTACAGCCGGCTGCAAGGATATGTCAGACTCTTACTGACTAAAACAAGCCCGTAGTTCATGTTTATGACCAGAAGGGCCTTACAAGCTTCATCTGAAGCGATCCCTGTAGTTTTTTATTTAGATTTTGTTGCAATGCAAGGTTTTATGCCATAATAACTTCATCTATGTCACTATTAACGTTTTCTTATAAGGAATTTTTAATAGGTAAGATTTTTTTTAAGCTAAGTTGTACGACTATTACTCTGAAACTAACAAATCTGTCTTAACCGTTATAGTTTACCTTAAAAGTTCATGAAAAGCACTGTTGGCATGATTTTTACCAGGTTTTTAAAGCCAATAGTTTAGCTTTTAGAGGGGGACGTACTGATGTAGACGTACTGCTCGAACAAAAATTGGCACTATAAAGTTCAATATTTGACAAACAGATTCCGAAATCGAAAACTAGTCTTAGAAACCCCTAAGTGATTTTAGAGGACCTATTCAACAATATCGCATACGATGGGGTAGATGATGAAAAAAAAATCATCCCAAGGTTACACGTAGGAGAGTTACCGCAAAAAATATTTTTGAAAATTATATTTTACTATTTTGTTGGCGTGATCGATATACGTATCTCCACAAAATTACAGCTCTCTAGTGCTAATAGTCTTCAAGCAAAACTGGAGACAGACAAACGGTCATGACGAAACTATAAGGGTTCACGGAACCCTAAAAAGGAACAAATTTTAAGTTATAGAGCAACAAATATATGTACAAAATAAATTTTAATAAATTAAATAATTACAATTAAAAATAATACAAAAGGAAAAGTTGAGATGGCGTGCCGAGATAACTAAGGAGTGGAGGAAAATTTCACAATTCTACACGCAATAATGCCTAACGCCTCTAGTTTGGGGGGATTCCCACAGACGATCACTAATTTCGCGTGACAAGTAAATGTTTCACGAATAAAATGACGCGAAATTACAGCGGTCGCATCTAAGGGTTTTTCACGCTTCATACTATTATTGCAAAATAACTAAGATCAATTGTTAACTGAAATGCTTTATTAGGTATTTAGGTATAGAGTATCGAAATGATATCAGGTAACATTTTAATTAGTCATTGTAACGACTGGATTGATGAGGATGCTGTTGGGATGTCGACAGACACATAGATAATTTATTATCTGAATTACCTTTAGCACGGACCAATATCCAATTCGTAAACTTTGCGAGTCCGAAATGTCATTGACAAATGTGTACTGATTTTTAGTTCTCGTTACGTACTTAGTGGCGCTGCTGTTCAAGTTTCCATACATAAATTTGACATTGACATTTCGCACTCGCAATCTATTCGAATTCGATAATAGTTCGTGTTAGGGGTACAGCACATAGAATCCTTTTCATCACAAATTTATTTAAAGTCCACGTGGGATTTATTTAATTGATTTATTTGAATACTAAAGTCGACTTCGGTCGTAGGTAATCTAGTATATAAGTATTTTGTTTCAATTACATTACTAAATATTTTCTATGTTGTTTTTTTCAGACGAGCGTTCCAAAGGTTTTATCAAAAATTCATAGAAACGGCGTATCCAATTGAAGATATTTACATTGAGTAATCTGCGGCAGTCTATATCCAAGAATTGTTTTGAGCGAACTTTTTAAGAAATGATTCTTTTGTAACTAAAATTCTTCGTTTATTCCGTTTATTTTATCCTGTCCTGCTAGTATTCCGATGATCGAATTGTTTCTATTTTTTTTCCAAACTGTAAGAGTAGCTACACACATAATCGGGTCGGCATTAATCGCCGCAGCCGGGAGGTAAAATCGAATATGTGTCCATGGACTATTCGGCAGTAATTACTACGGGTCGGCTTTGTTGTTCGACAAATACTGCGGAACTGACTATGCCGGCTCGATTATGTGTGTGGCTACTCTTAGCTTGATTCCGATGATCGAACTGTTGGGACATAAATTTTAATATAGATTTATCTACTAGTTGATCCAACTCACTTCGTAGAGCTTAAGTGTCGTCGCACACGGGCCACCGACCACAACCACAAAACGCCGCTACCGGCATATTTCTTGTAGTTTTCATACATTTTATGTGGACTCGTCACACACGGTACGCTGGTGGCCGCCACACGCTACAAATCGTCGTTGCTCGCTTCTTGTTCTACCGGCCACTTAATGCGCCGATACAAAACGCCGCCACACATCACCCGCGCAATTCCCCACCCCTCTCTCCCTTACCTTAGTCGACCGCTGTCGCGCGCTTCAGCCACTTTAGTAGCTTCTAGCTTCTCGTGGCGGCATTTGTGGCTGTGGCTTGTGGCCCATATGGGGCGACACTAACAATTGATGAATGTGGTTATCTTTTAATTTTTACTTACCTAAAATTGAATGTGACACAAATGAAAGTAAACTATGAGTTGCTTGTATTTTTGAAGAGCGGAAGAGGCACAGTAAGTATTATTTTACAGTGTGCATCAGTACTATGGTAATAAATATTATGTTAACGGTACAACACAATGGACATGTGCAAGAAAAAAAATGCGTTGGTGATGTTACAGTGCAGGTTCTATATTTTTAAGTTCTCATTTGGAGCTTTCCTTTCCAACTCATAGCTACATAATTTACAGGATCATTGAACAAGTTTATTTTTTATAATAGCTAAAATTTCTTTTTTACTTGTGTTAGTCTAATAGTTTGAAATATATGTATATGATCAAACTGTTCGATCATTGGAGTCAGTCTAACAGTTTGGTAAAAATTGTCCAAGCAGTTGGATCATCGAAGTACTAGTAGGACAGGAAGAAAACGAGATTGTTGACTTCGTCTGAGTTTGTTGTAGGTACTTTTCGTATTGTTATTAATGGCTCAATTACACTTGGTCGTTAGCCCGTATTAGGGTGCACGAAAGACATTACTCGAGTGCCGGTACCCGAAGGAATATTTACATAGGAATACGTGCTAGCAGACGATGTCTGGTAACTAGAGTTGAAAATTACCGAAAGTTTCGGTAAGAAACGAAAGTGTCGAGGTAACTTACCGGTAAGTTTGGTGAAACTTACCAAAATTAGGTAATTTAAGTAACTTTCAAAAATGATGATTTTACCTACAAATGTGCAACAGCAGCTTATTTTAAACGCTTTTGTCTCTTTTCCATTAACAAGGTAAGTTTCCCGAATTTTTACGCTGCCAGCTAGGGACCTACGTATTAGATAGTAGATACCTATCTACTTATAGTACATAAAAAAAGACTAAACGATGTACCTAATACTAATAAAGCATCCTTTGCTTTATTAGTTTTAAAACGATCGTATAGGTATTTATACTACAGAATTATTCGAAAACAAGTTAGGTGAGAAATAAGTATGTTTCTAAGTGGTTTTATATTTTTTTAAGTACAGGGTATACGAATTCATTGTTAAAGTAAAAAAATTTTTTTTGGACACTGCCAAAATTGGTAACTCTTATGGAAACTTTCGCAAAACTTACCATCGAAAAGGAAACTTTCGAGGTAATTTTCAACACTACTGGTAACCAAATGGACAACTACTCGAATATGGGCGTACTCGACTTCGTTCATTTAGACTTTTACCCGAATTCCATTGGCAATCGTATTCAGGCTAACTGGCACGGATAAGGTGGCGTAAAAACTATCAAGGTTGTGTGGTGGATTCCTAAAAAGAATAATTTAAGAGTGAGAGTATTTTGATTATGATATAAAATTAAAATCTTCTTTAAGCTCACTCGTTTAACATGCGGTTACAAAAGTAATTTTGCAAAGTAACCACTTAATTTTGTGTCACCTTACACGAAAAGAGAACGGTTCTTATATCAATAGATTTATTTAAATAATTTGAACATTATCTTTCTTTGAAGTTTTTCACAGAGAGGCGATTGGGCTTATGCCCAAACCCCTCTTATCACTTTACTTAAGTCTACTTTCTGAATTTTGTCAGAATGTTAAATCCACTTTCTGACTTATGTCAGAAAGTGGACTGACGAATATTACAGTTGGTACTGTGATCAGCAGCATTCCAACATAATCGCAGACAATTCGATTGATAGTCCCAAACTCTCACTCAGTATTTACCAACAGTATTTATAATTTATAAAACATTCGTGTCGGCTCTTTTAAGGATCTAAAGAAGTTGTGATAAAAGTTTTCAATATTAACAAAAAAGCTCTTTATGTACCTACATAATTATGATTTCATATCCATTCAGTGATATTAAATTTATGACTAATTTTGATATACAAAAAAAAGTTTCCTTATACCAAGGAAAAATTGCATGTTGGTCTAATCGTACATAATTTTTTTTTTTTTATAAGAGTTAAGATCGGATTGGATGTAAGTAACTCAAACATAATAAGGCAGCTGAGCTTTAGCATTATTTATGTCTGTTATAAAAGCATGATAAGAACTTTGAATACGAGATGTATTAATTATAACTGTATATCAACTTTCACTATGACCATTGGTTCCGGCTTCTTATCTTATCTACATTGCAATTATCCTAAGCATTTTCATAATTGCGGCATATTTTTGTATATTCAAGTTTGTACTTATTACACTTAGGCCCATTTGCACCAAGCTTATCATGTTTAAGCCTCATTCTGACCTTAAAAGATTTACAAAGATGAAATGATGTGCTGAAACGGATTAGGCCTTAATTTGGTTTAAACATTTTTAAGCAAGTGGCTCTTGGTCTAGTTTGCCGTATCATTTTAAGTAAACAGAGATGAATATGTTTGAAGACATACTATGAACATTTCTAAGCTGATCCATACTTTAAAAATACTTGCAGGATAACACATTTTATATTTCATTGCCGTGTCTGAAATATAAAATGTGTTATCCTTATCTTTTAAAGACCAAAAAAAGTAATAAGATTTGAAAGTAAATATATTTTAATTATCACTCAAATATAATATTCAACAGTTGAATAGAAACATGTGAAATATCACATAATATTAATATGCAGAATGGTTTAGTATCAATTATACATCAATACACTTAAATATACATTCCTTCGGCATTTTATTACTATTACTTTTATATAAGACAAAATTCAATAAATGTAGGTATGTAGCAATTCAGAAAAATCACTAAATGTAATATTGTACCTAACGAATCCCAATACATACAGAATCCGTTAGTGAAATGATTTCATTCATTTCATAATATTAAAATATGTTACAACGTCTGAGATAAGATCTCCCAGTGAACCAGAATTTATTCATCAGATACTTTTTATTTGTACAATTTATTTTTATTTGATTACAACAACTTACTATTTAATTAAAAGGCAGGTAACTAAAATCAACAAATTTTGTGAAGATAAGAAGGTTTTTATCATATTCTCTGACACTGTGATATGGAATCTTACAACTTTTTGATTTAAGTATAGAAGTTAAATACGTATACTTATAACAACACCTAAGTTTTAGTTAACATTTCGGTCGAAATGGATTGCGTGGATAGTCGTATCTTAACTTCATGCTGAAAAATAAGTATTAAAATATAATGAATTATGAATTTGTATTTATAATAACGGACAGTTACTAATATCGATGTAGGTAGGTATGTACAGAAATTTATACTAGGCACAGCGGTTTTATCAAATGTGTAGAAGACGAGTAGAGGTTACTGCTTTAAGGTCTCTACCGACTACACCGTTTCATAACATGACCATATTAGAAACGCGTCAGACATAAAAATATTCTTTGTATAGAAAACTATGAGACGATGCTCATTAGACCGTTCCGGCACCGACCAGTACCATCGCGTGCCATGTCGGGGAGAATGTTTTGCCGGTGCCGATACGCTCCGCGCATAACACGCGACGTTGCAAAACCGATGCGCGCAGGCAACAAAACGTTGACTATACGGGTTAGAACCGCGTATATAGGCGTCTTAAACGCCGGAAGTACTGAAAGAACTTTTCGACATCTTCAACTAAGTGCTTATACAACGTCCAAAATTCTCCTTCACTTTTTCGTTCTTTTATAGAATCGTGAATCCAGTAGCGTCGAGTGCTTTTTTGATTCTGTTCTTCTTCCTCATCCAATATTATGGCAATCATTGCCAGTTGTCTAACAGTTAATCTTTTAGCAGCCATACCTATTGTATTTAAAAGTTGTTAGCACTCCGCAGACATCCATTCATTACCGATACACATGTAAGAATGAAACAGCTTCCTATCGATTTTGGTGGAGACATCATACAAATTATGCAAAGGCAACATAGGAGTTGCATACGGGTATCATACGGGGTGCACACCGGCAACATACGGGCATTATACGCCGTCGATCCGTTTCAGTGGGCATAGCAAGCCGTATCGTGTCACTTTCCGTGTTTGATACGGTCCTAGCATGTTCATGGTATGAAACGGTGTAGTCGGTAGAGACCTTTAATACTATCTTTTCTATTAACTAGTACACTATAGCAGCATCATAATAATTGCTATGTTGTGAATTGTAAATATTTTTTGTTTATTTCATAAGTGAAAGGATAGGTTCATGTTATGTTGAAAGCGAAAGCGCTTTAATGTATTCATGTTGAAATACAATAATTAAAAAAATGTAACGGTGAAACCGAAACTAGTAATTGTACTTTACAATTATTACACTCACTACCGTTTAAATACAAACGTTTGGGTTATACTATCGTCTAGATTGCCTACACATTAAATTTTTAATAAATAGATAGTTTTTGTAAAGAGCCAAGGAACCAAATAATCAAAGAAATCACAATAAATATTTCAGGTAATTAATTCAGGTTCAGGTGAAAGAAAAAATAAGAAAAATGTAAATTAATAGGAATAAAAAGAATAAAGGTTTGTAAAAATGTATTACAATGGTGAGCCTAATTTTGTTATGATTTTATAAGCAAGCATGCAAGCAAGTAAACTAACGGAAATTTCTCCTTTTTTTCTTTGAAGATTGATATAAGGATATACTACTCTGAAATATGTGTTTAAGGATTATAGAATCATGACGGATTTAGTTCAAGTATTAAAGGAAAACCTTCTTATTACAAAAACTTCATGCGTAATGATACAGCAAATTAGTAGTTTGTTTATAATCATGTCCTTAATCACAGATTACCTAGTAGGTTTTGTAAATACAATAAATAAATAAATATCTATGTACAATTGCACATACACGAGAGGAGAACGATATTCAACAAAGCTGAGTGGAGCTGTGAGTGAAAGGAAAACATAATATATTGTCTAAA